CTCTCTCTCCTCCTCCTCCCTCTCTCCCCTCTCTCTCCTCCCTCCCTCTCCTCCTCCTCCTCTTTCTCCCCCATTTCTGAAGTAGAGGGCATTTTCCAGCTCCACCTCTTTGCAGCTGGCAGGCCTTGAGGAGGAGGGCCTGTGCTGTCCAGAGACACAGGTCCCCCGCTCCTCTGTCACACATGCTCCTGGGGAGGCTGCCTCTTGGCTGCACAGTCTCCCTGGGGGAGGACATCTCAGTCACGCACGTGGGCATGTGGAAAAAGAGCTCTGCTTCTGCTGTTTCAGGGCCACTCAGCCCCCTCTTGGCTCCGAGAGACCTCGGGGTGGTAGGTGGGCCCTCATTCTTTTGGGGCCGGGTTACTTCTGCCCTTTGATCCAGTGGTCCCCCATGTGGTGCCCTGGATTTGCAGCTGTGGCTGTGGCTGTGACTGCCGAGACCCTGCCCTAGGGCCTCATTGTCCCCTCCCACAGCCGGCACCCCGAAAGCCAGTGCACAGTGTCTGCGGGGGAGGGGGGACAGGCACAGGGTCCTGCGTCCTGGCCGAGCAGACTTGAGGCCAGGCTTGGCTGATGAGAAACTGGCTTCCTGCCAAGAGGGGCGGTGGCCAGCGGCGCAGACCCCCCACGCCGTCCTCTTAAGTCTGGCCCCGTTTGGCTCTTCTCTGGGAAGCGTCTGGGGCCGCCTGCAGGTGCAGTCTGGCAACAGAACCCAAGGGGAAGGGCGCTTGCGCCCAGCCAACCCTGCGGGGCCCTGTGTGTGCGTGGCGGGCGGGTGGCAGAGCAGGGCCGGCTCCTGTGCCGGCGCCACACTCAGTGTTCCCAGCTCTGTGGCCGTCGGTCTCTGTCACGGGAAAGCCGCTGCAGGCAGTGCATGAATGGTGTGTGCCAACAAAACTTTATTTACGGGCACTGAAATGTGAACTTCATGTAAATTTCAAACGGCGGGGTAGCCTTCTTTTTTATTTTTTCCGACCATTTAAGAATATGAAACCCATTGTTAGCTCGCGGGCCGTAGAAAAACGGGCGGCGGGCGCATCTGCCCATGCCCCCGGCATGGAAGGTAGTGTCCCTTTTGCTTTAAACAGCAGACGTTTCCACCCAGGTGTTCGGCCACTCTGGGCTTTATCTTGTCCCCGCTGGCAACCAACAGCCCCACCCAGGGCCCAGCACTCGGTGGCAAGGGGTGGGCAGGGTTTGGCCGAACTATTTCCATGGGGATGCCACTCAACAGAACTCTGCAGAAACATCCTCGGGATGGGCTTCTGGAAAAAGCTTGCCCACTCTGCATCCTTGTCCCCTGATGGACTGTCCTCGTTTCGGGCACGTCCGTCTGTGAGTCCGCGAGTCCTGGGTGCGCTCAGCCCCTCCCTCCCTTGTTTTTCCCACCCTGTGGCCCCTCTCTTTGAGAACCCTCCGCCGGCTCGGGCACACTGTCCCGTCTGTCCCTGACAGCCAGAGGGGGACGATACTCTCTCTTCTGGTTTCTTTTGTTGTCTCGTTTTCGTGGTCTGCTGTCCCGTGTGATCCTGAGGAACAGCAGCTTTGGTGAGGCCTGCCATAGGGCGGCTGCTGCTGGTTCCCAGGCCCAGGGCAGGCCAGCTGAACGGCTCCCGGCTCCCAGGCCCAGACTGCGCGGTCCTTGCATAATGGATAATTGACTGGGGCTCAAGCTAATTTGTCAACAGAGAGGATTGCAAATAAACACGTGCCACATTCCAGACAGGGAACAGTGTTAGGAGTCGTCTAAAGAGCTGCCAAGGAGCCCTGGGTAAGCACTCGGCTGCTAACCGAAGGTTGGAGGTTTGAATCCACCCAGTGGCTCTGCAGGAAGAAGACCTGGTGTTCTGCTTCTGTAGAGCCCACAGCCTAGCAGGCCCTGTGGGGCAGTTCTGCTTTGTCACACGGGGTCGCTGTGCATCAGAATTGAGTCCGCGGCACCCAGCAACAACAACGGAGCTGCCAGTAAGAGAGGTGGACCCAGCCGGGTGGCCAGGGTGCCCGCCACCATGCCCGCCTCAGACGGAACCTTCTCTGGACAGAGGAAGTGGCCTCACCAGATCCATGTCCGTGTGTCCCTGTGTCCCTGCATGGGCCAAACTTGTGCCCACCTGCCTGCCCGCTTGAGCCCTGCCCCAGCTGCCCCCTTGCTCCCCGTGAGCCAGCGCTTGTCACTCTCTGTTCCTTTCTGGAACGCTCCTCTCTCCCGCCCACCTGCCTGCACACCTCTCCCTCCCTCGCTGCCATCCTGGGGAGCTGCAGTATTTCGACATTGGGACTGAATAACAAATTAAGTCGTGTTCCCAAGGATATAATTTTCTTTAAAGCCTTTAGGATATAAAACAGGGCTGATTTCCTTATTTGTTTTTTTAGTGATGGATGGGGCCCTGTTCTCAAGAAGGCTGATGGGTGAGTCGCTTTCAGGGCCCAGGCCCGTGTGGTCCTTCCATACCGACTGGCCGTGGTTCCCAGCAGTGCTGGGTGCCGGTCTCACCTGGGTGCCCCCTCCACGTGGCTTATCCTCCCCCCGCCTTCTCCAGGCCCGGTCGCCACCATCAGGCTTCCTTGAGCTTCTGAGCATGTATTTTGGGTTGGAGAGGCACCCCCAGCTGATCCTTGGCTCAGGAAGATTGAGAGGGCAGATGCAGCATATCTGGCTCTACACCCCCAGGCGAGGGTCTCCCCCTCGGCACTGCTGACATGGGGGCTGGATCCTTCTCTGCAGTGGGGCCTTCCCGGGCACTGTGGGGTGTTGAGCAGCATCCCTGGCCTCCACCCACTCGATGCCAGTAGTATCCCCTCCCTAGTTGTGACACCCACAAATGTCCCCAGACATCGCCCAGTGTCCCCTGGGGGCAGAATCGCACAGGTGAGGATCATTGCGCTAGATGAGCGAGTGGGATTGGGGCAGGCTTTAAGTCACCCAGCCCTGCCCATCTTCGACAACAGCACTGCAGGCCCTCCTGTCCTCATGTGGGACGCTGTTGTTTCTCCCTTTTCTCAGCAAACTCCCTGTAGCACCTGGCCGCACCCCCGGAAGGTTCCAGCCTTCCTGGCGGGCCCCCATGCAGGCATGCTCTTCGGGTGCTGCTTCGGGCAGCATTTTGGAGCCCAGGAAAATGCTGGCTCCTCTGGGAGGTGTCCCTCATGGCCTTCGCCCGTCTTCCTGCCCCTCCAAGGGTGTATCCCACGTGATCACACCCAGAAGTTCATTAACCCTCCCTGGGAGCCGTCTGTGTTCCTCTTCACAAGTAAGACGCACCTTCTTGCTGGCTATGCCAGGTCAGTCCCTGCATGTGGCCTGGGGCCCCTCAGAAGGAGGTGGCGACTGTGGGACTGGCACGCTGCCCATCATCATCTTCACACGGCCCCTCCTCCCGGACCTCTCCAGCAGCCCTTCGCCATATGCAGCCTGTCTCCGCATCCCAGCTGCTTGTTCTTCCCGAGGAGCACGTCGCTGTTCGCCATCCATTCACCACATGTTGCGGCACGTGTGTCTCCTGCCGGCTCGCTCACCTCGCGGGGCGCCCGTGCCTCCTCCGCCGGCTCGCTCGCCTCGCGGGGCGCCCGTGCCTCCTCCGCCGGCTCGCTCAGTGCAGCAGGTCTGCACGGAAGAGAGATGGAAACAGAACAGGCTTCCTTCCAGGCTGTCCCCAACCTCAGCCTGTCCCAGCCCAGCCTCCCCTCCCCAGGGCTGCTAAGCCCGGCGGCCCCCGCCCTCCACCCAGAACCATACCAGCTCAACAACAGCCTCGGAGCCCCAAGTTCTGCCTGTGGAGGAGGAAATCCTGGACGAACAGCTGGTCCTGGGAGAGCCGCCAGCCTCCATTGTGGGGTGCTCATGGAGTGCCGTGCCCCCTCTGGGACCTTGGTGCAGCCCCAGGTCCTGACACCAAAGGAACCTGCGTCCCTGTCACGAGGCCAAGCTCTCCTGTCACCTGAGATCGGAGGGATGCCTGCCTCCACCTCTAAAACTTCAGTGTAATTATTTGTATGAAGTCCCAACATTTGGCACCTGTAAATTCCATCAAGTGACTCCCAGTTAAACCTGGCAGATAAAGTGCGTGTTCATCTCTGCTTGCTACTGAAATGTCACTCAGACAGCCATAAAGGAATGGCAGAGCGGGGTGGGGACAGTGGTAGCTGAGCAGTGGTGGCAGGCTCTGAGAGGGTGGGGACAGGCCAGTGTATTTGACTTTGCAGCACAGAGAAAGCGCAAACCCACGGGCCTGGGAGGAGGAGGCCAGCGGGGAGCAGAGGATTCACACCAAAGGACTCCGGAAAGGCCTGGGTCCAGAGAAGCCGGCGCTCCTAGGACAGGGAAGTGTAGCGGGCTGGAAACAGGAGGAATCGTCACTGCGTGTGAGGGGCTGCTGGAACCAGGTGCCTCGGGGCTGCTTCCCGGCCCCTGGCCCACGTCCCAGCAGAAGATGGCAGTTCTGCTGCTTGACGAGGTGGAACCTGTGCTGCTCTGGGCAGGACAGAGGTGCCCTCCTTGAGGGTAAGGCAGGTGGAAACCTGGCACCAGCCTCACACCCACCTCCCAGGCCAGAGTGGAGGAGTCTCTCCGGGGTCACGGAGCGGCCCAGCAGAACAGAGCTCCGGATCCTGATACTGGGGGCCCTTGAGCCTTCTCTGCCCCACTGCTGCACAGCTCACTCGTGCAGAGCTGCTTAGTATGTTGTACAGAGGACAGATAGCCTGGGATCGCTGAGCATTGCAGGAAACTCCCCAATGCAAAAGACAGTGTAAAACAAAAACCAAACGAGGAATCCAAGGAAAGAGCTAATGCAGTAAGTAGAAGCTGACTTCTAAAGACTTACTCTGAGGGATGGGGGAAGACATTGCATTTATGGAAGAAGAAACCATTATAATTAGAAAAATATAGGCAAGAGACAGCGCTTGGATATTGAAAATGAGAACACAGAAAATGTCCTAGATGGTTTGGAGTCAGCTTGAGGAAATATCCCAGAATACAGAGCAGAATGATCCAGTTGGAAAATAGGAAAGATTAGAAAGTCAGAGGCTCAATCCAGGAAATCCAGTATCTGATAGGAGTTTCCAACAAAAGAGAAAAGAAAATTTCCCAGAACTGAAAGACTTGTATTTCCAGATTAAAAAGTCACAGTGGGTGAAAATTACCCATGCTATGGTTCAGCTTTGTGAAATTTTACAACTCATGGGTTAAACAAAAGACCCTAAAAGCTTCCAGAGCAAATAAATAAGCCAACATAAAGAATGAGGGATGCTCATGGCGTTGGATTTATGTCAGCCGTAATGCTTCAACCTAAAAGACAAAAGAACAAGGCTTTTGAATTCAGAAGAGAAATGAGTTTCAACCTAGAAGTAGTTACCTGGCTAAACTACCAATTAAATGTGTGAGGGGAATGAAGATCTTTTGAGATGCGCAGAAGTTCAGATTTTACCTTCGTTCTCAAGGATGCGCTTCAGCTAACCAAGGGCATAATCCAAGAAAGACTCGTTGTTAGGTGCTGTCGCGTTGGTTCTAACTCATAGCAACTCTGTCTGCAACAGAATGAAACAGTACCCAGTCCTGTGCCGAGCTCACAGTTGTTAAGTTTGAGTCCATTGTTGTAGCCACTGTGTCAATCCATGGCTCAAGGAAACGCGATCAAATCCAGGAGGGTCAAAGGGAACCCATGGTAAGGAGAATCCCGGGCTTAGTGACCTAGACAACTGCCTGTCCCCAGGGAGCAGGGATGGGGGTTCCGGAGATGTCACTGAGGAGTGCGTGACACCTGCTCTTGGAGACCACACCGAAAGGAGTTTAAGAGTGAGATCAGAGAGTTTGAAGACACAAAGAAAACTCAGCGTCCGAAAGAAGGAGGAACAATGATTAACTCTAGGAAGAGCAAGCCAAGCATGCAATCAGAGGAGCCCCATTGCTCATGGATGGGCAATATTTATAGCATCGTAAAAATGTAAATATCGATCCCCGCAGCCGAAGGCCTGCGGTGGTCCCCACACATCTGGTGGCAGACGAGAGGAGAGAAGTGGACCAGGGTGGGGGTGGGGTCGGGTGCTGGAGAGGGCTGGTCACTCCCTGAGTCCTGAGCCGGGAAGTCAGTGGAGGAAACCCAGACCCCAAAAGGAAGCTGCAGCGTCAGGAGGAGGGGCATGGAAGAAAATTTCAGAAGAAACCGTGTTGGGGAGTGGGCGTCGGGGGAGGGAAGGGGGGTCGGCTGCTGTGAGCCAAACTGCAATTATGATGGGTTTGGTGAGCGCTCCTTCTCCCCCAACCCCCAAAATCTATCAGCAGATTGGTGGTGATTCTTCTAGCTGTTTTTTTTCCAGCTTCTTTGTATAAAATGGGTATTTCTTTGCATGTAGATATGCAGCTTGCTTTTCCCACCCTGCCATAGGGCATGGCCGGCTTTGAGCCTCCCTACACGTAGCTCCAGGAAGCCTGGTATAGTGGTTAAGTGCAAGGTGCAGCCCCCCACACCTCATGTGTGGTCCCGCTGCAGGAGGCCGGCGTCCTCCTCCCTCAACGGCTGCAGTGGCAAGGCACAGTGGCTGCCAGGAGTTGAGGCTCCCATCCTGGGGTCCCCAAGCTCTGAGCCCAGTGCTGTGTGGGGGCTGAGGCAGGCTGGGGGGCTCAGGGGATACCCTGTCTGCTGTGGGGTCAGACATGGCCTCAGGGCTGGTTCGGGGGAAGTGGGTGTGAGTAGAGGGGGCTGAGGAGCCAAGGGCACCTGCAGGAGACCAGGCAAGGTGAGTGGGCAGGATGAGAGTGCCCTGGGGCGAGGGAGGGTTCCCCAGCAGGAGCCCGGCGGGCAGCAGCGTTCTCAGACCCGGGGACACCCTCCTGGGGCAGTCAGTGCTGGGAGCCAGCTGCCCTCGGGGTCTGGGCCAGAGCATGACAGATGCTGCCCGTCTCCACGTGGGGGCCTCTGGCGTTGCCATACTTGCCCCGTGTGGTGCCGCCTTCTCCTGCCCAGGGTCGTTGGTGGCACTGCTGGCGTCAAGAACGCTCCCTGGGAGGAGGTGCCAGTCTTGGGCCCCCAGTCCCCAGCCCCTGTGCCTCTTCCTCCCCCACAGCCCCCCTGTAACGACCCCACCGTGGCCCCCTGCCCACCTGCTGTGCCATGCCCGTGTGCTGCCATGCCCCGCATGCCCGTCCCCGCCTGCCATGCCCCGCATGCCCGTCCCCGCCTGCCATGTTCCCGCTGCTTCTGCCGCCGGTCATCTCCTGTGCTCATTCACAAACGTTACGTGCAGGCGGTCCTGGGGCTCTGGGAGAGGGCGCAGTGATAAGCCCGGGGTCCCTCCTGAGGGGCACTGCCCCTAGCAAGCTAGGCAGTGATTAGTGTGAAGGGGATGCAGAAAGAGGGGGCAGCCGAGGTGGGCTAGGGGACTGCTCTGGGAAGGCAGTTTCAAAGACCCAGCACGGAAAGCTGGGGGGTAGGGGTGGCTGTGGGGGGACTGGCAGAGGAGCTGGGCAGAGGTGTGGGCAAGCCGGGCCAGGCCCAGGGTGTCCGGAGGACAGGGCTGCTGCAGCCACTCATTGTGACAGCCTGGCTCAGGTAGAAAATGGGGGGCCCTGGTGTCAGATCCCTCCACCCGGCCCCAGTGACAGGCCCGCGTCCCCCTCTGTGACCGTTTAGTCCTGGAGGTGCAGCTGCCCCAGGTACCCCACAATAGGGTTGTGGTGTCCAAGCCCCACCCTACCACCTAGCTGGCTTCCCAAGGGGCACGGGGTGCAGGGCCTTCACGTGGTGGGGCCCCCACAGGGGCTTCCGGGCAGGCTGGAGCTCCAGCCAGAGCCGAGCCTTGCGGCCAGCAGGACATTCCACTGATGAGGACCAGCAGGTCAGCGCTGTGGGCGGGTGTGGCAGGCCGCCCTTCTCAGTGGTCAGGGCCTGCCCACCGGGTCCAGGCAGGAGCTTGCTGGGTCTGCCACCCGAGGCAGGTGTGGGCAGGGGACATGGAGAGCACACAGCACTGCTCTCGGCACAATGGCACGCACGGCTTCTCTCTGCCTGAGAATGGGGAGGGAAGAAAGGCAGTGGGTTATGAGACCAGAGCACGTGGGGCTCGGAGGCATCGCAGCCAGGCAGGGAGGCCTGGGGGCGCTGGTGGCCGGGTCACCATGGACAGTGGGTACCCCCCAGCTATAGAGAGGGTGCTGATGACCCCTGAGCTGAGCCTCCCCACACTCCCAGTGTCTGCCCAGAGTCCCTGGGAAAAAGGCACTGGGGATGTCACATGGCCTCTTGTTAACCCACCAGGAGCTTTTTGTCCCCCGATCTGGAAAGGGCTCCCCGACTTACGGTTTCCCTGCAGTCAGACAGGGCAGGGAGGCCCTGGGCGCCATTCTGCACCCTCACTCGCCTTGTTCTCTCTTCCTCTCGTTCTCTGAGGTCATAGCTAGGCCAAGTCTGCAGGCCTCAGGGCTGAGGGAGGCAGTTTTCCTTCTGGCCCTGTAGGCAGATCCCAGTGACGGGCCAGGAGGAGGCCCCCCTTCCTCCTGAAAGGCTGTGGGGCTTCAGAGCAGGTTAGGGAAGGAGCCGGGCATGAGCGTGGAGCCCCTGTGTGTCACGCAAGGGCTGTAGGGAAAGGACCGAGGGGGAGATGAGGCCCTTAGGTGAGATGTTGGGGAGATGGAAAAAAAGCCTTAGAGAAAAACTCCCTGAAATTTACGTTCTAGACAAATTAGTCTGAAGGAACACAGACACTGGAGAAAACCCGAGGAAGAGAGGAAGGCCCATCTAGAGAGGAAGAAAGAGCAGACCAAAAGGCCGGGGCTGTCGTAAGTGTCTGTTCTGTGCTGTTCGTCGTCTAGGCATTTTACACGGTCTGCTGTTTCCGTCAGAGCTCAGGCTCCCCATCTGTCCCGCCCCAACACAGCTGCGTCTGAGCGTCCCTGTCCCTGCATCCCATCCATGTCGGTCATGTCCCATCTCCAGCCGTCATTGGCATCTGCTCTTGACACCGCCCCGCCCCCCACCCCACCCCTTCAGGCCTCTCCACCCTCCACAGCCCCTGCCCCAGGAGCAAAGCCCCCCGCCCCCAGGGCCTCCAGAGCTGGTGCGGCTGCTGCCTCAGGGTGCATCTTGGGGAGGGGCTCTGTCCTGCGGCCACCTGCGCAGACCACAGCTCTTCTCCCATGTTTCTTCACCTCCTGTCTGACCAATCTCCCTCTCCAGGTCTCACCGGAAGCGGAACCAGCCCAAGAAGTCCAAGCCAGAAGATCCCAAGTCCCTCGGGGAGGGCCCAGCGGCCGGGGCAGAGGACACCGGTGGGGGCGCGAAGGAGGAGGCTGCGCAGGAGGCCGATCCTGAGGAGGAAGAGGAGTCACTGCAGGGCCGCGAGGCCGAGGGCGCAGAAGGTCAGTCTCGGCCGGCAGTGGCCCAGGCCTGGTGCCCAGTGTCAGATCCTCCTGGCTCTGAGTCGGTGTGTGGCGGGCAGAGCCAGCATTCGCTGTGGCCACAGAATCTCCTGCTTTTACAGAACCCGATTCAATCATTTTCTTGGCAGGGTGGGACGTTTTATAAAAACGTATATTATAGAGCAGATGCTACAAGAAGTCCTTCTCCCAGAAATGAGAAGAGGTTTTGCCTGCCTGTCCACAGGGGAGCACCCTGCCATTTGTGGCCCACATGCTGGAATGTGCCTGCCATGGTGGATGGCCCCCCACTGCGTGCCCTCCCTCTGAGAGGTGGACGCATCCTGGCCCTGGTGGGCAGAGGAGGGACGCCGTGAGCCGCTGGGTTCCCCTTGGGCCCAGCTGCCCAGACCTCTCCCCGGGGTCCCCTCTTCCCCCAGCACTGTTGCCCTCTGAGGCAGGCAGAACAGGGGGTGCGGCGGCGCACGTTTCTTTCCGAGCACATGACTCCCCACGCTGCGAGGTTGCATGGACAGATGGGAGCGTGAACCAGGAGCCATACGGGCATGCAATTCAGAAATGTGCCTTTTGCGCCGCATGGGACACTTCGCAATGCGGAGTATCAAGCTGAGAGCATTTTGAAGGCCCCTCACCCTGCTGTTTTGCAGTGATTTTCTCTTTTTTATGACTGAGTTTTGTTTTCCTAATTTATGGCTTCGTTTCTCATACGTTTTGCACGTTAGCGGCTGCCCCCGGTTATAGGGGAGGGAAGCTCATCCCTTTCTGGGCGTTTCTAGAAGCCTGGTGCTGGGCTAGGGCAGAGGGGCCAGACCATCTCCCAGGCTCAGACCCCAGAGAGTTCTGCTTAGGTCCTGAAATATCCCTCTTTCTGGCAATCTCTTGGAATTTATGAGCCCCAAGGACTCAGTTGTCTCAGAGTTGTAAGTTCATAGGGATGTCCTATTGCTGCTGTTAAAGATTATGTAGTTTCTGCAGTGACTGTTTATGCAAGGAGACCAGACTGAGACATGCTTGTGGCCCTATGCGACACACATAGGAGTATTGTGCCAGGCACGGGGCTGTACGGTAGAGAGGTCTTGGCTGGGCCTTGTGGTACCCACAGTATGGTGGGAGAGGTGGGTGCCGGCTCTGTCCACCTTGATGTGCCCAGGGGGCTGCAGTAGAGGGAGGGGCTGAAATAGAGGGAGGGGCTTGTGCTGCAGGGTCCCTGTTAGGGAGCCACCGATTCCCTCAGGAGGGAATAGTGAGAGTCCTGAGGCAGAACTCACAGAGGCGGTGACGTTGTGAGCGAGCATGAGCGAGGAGCCAAGCTTATGAGAGGCAAGAGGGCTGAGAATTTCCTGTATGGAAGTGCATGCTGGAGCATCCTCAGAAAACCCAGAACGCACAAGTCACTCGTGGGGAGTCCTGGAAGGCAGTTCCTTCCAAGTCAGGAACGAGACAAGATCTCTCTGTATCTGTTCAGTGTAATACAGGAGGGTCTGCCCAGCCTGGAGACGTAAGACGAAGAAATAGAAGTCGTCATGGTTAGAAAGAACAAAATTGTCTTATTTACAGATGACATGACTGTCTATATAGAAAAAGGAAACAAATCTACCGGCAAAATGATATAATTTCTCAAGGAGCTAGCGAAGTGGCTGGATATGAGCTTAATATACAAAAGCCAGGTCACATTTCTCATATACTAGGGGTCCCTGGTTAGTGCAAACGGTTAACACACTGAACTGCTAACCAAAAGGTTGGTGGTTCGAGTCCACCCAGAGGCACCTCAGAAGAAAGGCCTGGCAGTCTACTTCCAAAGAATCAGCCGCTGGAAACCCTGGGGGACTGAGTTCTACTCGGACACAGATGGAGCCACAGGAACCGGAGTTGACCCAACAGCAGCTGGTTTAGCTGTTAACGGAAAATTTAATTTTCAAAAAGATACAAAATAATAGCAACCTAAACATAACGTACCTTGGGACAAATCTATAACAAAAAATACGGAGAGAAAAAAAACCGAAGCCCTGGTGGCACAGTGGTTAAGAACTCAGCAGCTAACCAAAAGGTCGGCAGTTGGAATCCGCCAGCTGCTCCTTGAAAACCCTGTGAGGCAGTTCTACTCTGTCCTGTAGGGTCACTGTGAGTCGGAATTGACTCGGCAGCAGTGGGTTTTTTGCTTTTATGGAGAAAATTAGAAACTGTGTTGACAGACAAGAAAAAGAACAGCTGGGAATGGAGCAATGTATCATGCATTAGGAGAATTCACTAGTGAAATGGTACAGTTTCCCCCAGTTATCTGTAGATTCAGTGCATTTCCATTCGGGATCCCAGCAGAGTTTTGCTAGTCACTGATGAGGGTCCAACAAGCTGATTTGAAATGTATATGGAGGAAGAAAGGCCCAAGAATAAAGGCACCAGCCTGCAGAGCGGTGGCCAGGGATTGTGCTCCCAGCCACGAAGACTGCTCATCAAATTCGCATGATCCCTCCCTGACACCATATGCAAATCTACTTATGGCATGTGTGAGTTCCTGCGGCTGCTGTAACAAAGCACCACAGACTTGGTAGCTTAAAATAACACACATTCCCAGAAGAAGTAGGTGGTGCCTGGCTACCACCACTGACAGCTCTGACAGGGATCACAACAGAGAGCCCTGGAAAGAGCAGGAGAAAAATGTGGAACAAAATTGAAGTTCATGAAAAAAGACCAGACTTACTGGTCTGACAGAGACTGGAGGAATGCCCGAGACTATGGCCGCTAAATGCTTTGCTAACTCAGAACTGAAACCACTCCCGAAGCCCACTTTTCAGACAAAGATTAAACCAAAAAAACTCAAACCCGTTGCCACTGAGTACATTCCTACTCATAGCAACCCTATATGACAGAGTAGAGCTGCCCCATAGGGCTTCAGGGAGTTGCTGGTGGATTCGAACTACTGACCTTTTGGTTAGCAGCTAAGCTCCGACCACTGTGCCACCAGGGCTCCTAGACAAACATTAGATAGTCAGAATCGACTCAGTGGCAGTGGGTTTGGTTTTTGGTTTATGAAACAAACATTAAGACATGTGAGAAACATGCTTCTTAGTTTAGTCAAATATACGAGACCAAATGGGGAACTCTTGACGAAAAGCTAGACGAAAAGGCAGAAAGGGACAGGAACTGGGCGAATGGACACAGGGAACCGGGGGTGGAAAGAGGGAGTATGCTGTCACATTGTGGGGATTGCAAGCAATGTCACAAAACAATATGTGAATAACTTTTTGAAAGAGAAACTAATTTGAGCTGTAAACTTTCACCTAAAGCACAATAAAATTTAAAAAATAATAACAACACATTAGGAGCCCTGGTGGCACAGTAGTTAAGTACTCAGCTGCTAACAGAACAGTTGGCTGTTTGAACCCACCAGCCTCTCGGTGGGAGAAAGACGTGGCAGTCTGCTTCCATAAAGATTTACAGCCTTAGAAACTCTATAGGGCAGTCGTACTCTGTCCTGTAGGGTCACTGAGATATCAGAATTGACTTGACAGCAGTGAGTTTGGGTTTCTTTCTTTCTTTTTTTTTTTTTAAATTATCTCACAATTTCTGGAGGTCACAGGTCCAAAATGGGTCTCACGGGGCTAAATGAAGTGTTGTCAGGGCTGGTTGCTTCTGGAGGCTCTAGGGGAGAATCTGTTCCTTGCCTTTTCCAGCTTCTAGAGGCTATACATACATTCCTCGGCCTGTGGCTGTCGCCTCGTCTTCAGAGCGCGTGCCTCCAGCCTCTGCTTCTATTCTCACATCTCCTGTCTGACTCTGACCCCCCTGCCTCCCTCTTTCACTTACTAGAAACCTTGTGATCCCACTGGGCCCACCCAGATGATCCAGGCTAACCTCCCCATCAGAAGGTCCTTCATTTCAACAGCTACAACGGCCCCTATTCCTCATACAGTAACATATTCATTGATCTTGGAGATTAGAGCGTTATTATGGATTGAATTGTGTCCTCAAAAAATACGTGCTATAAATCCTAACCTGTATGCCTGTGGTTATAATCCCGTGTGGGAGTGGGTTGTCTTCGTTATGTTAATGAGGCAGGATTAGTGTAGGGTGTGTCTTGATTCAATCTCTTCTGAGATGTTAAAGTGATTAAACAAGCAAGTGAAAGAAGCAGAGATGGGGAAAGAGAGATGCCAAGCACATGAGGATCTCTCCGGAGCAGAAGCTCAGAAGAGACGAGGACCTTTTTCCAGAGCCGACAGACAGAAAAAGCTATCCCCTAGAGCTGGCACTCTGAATTCAGACTTCTAGCCTCCTAAACTGTGAGAAAATAAATTTCTGTTATAGTAGCACTAGATAACTAAGACAGAATTTGGTACCGAGAAGTGGGGGTGCTAGTCTAAGAAATACCTACAATGTAGTAGTAGTTTTGAAATTGGGTAATGGGTGGAGGCTGGAAGAGTTTTAAGGTGCCTAATAGTAAAAGTCTAGTTTGCCTTGAAGAGACTTTTGGTAGAATTACAGGCATCAAAGACAATTCTGGGGAAGGTCCAGAAGGAAGTGACGAGAGCTGTAGAGAAGATCTTTATCGTCTTGGAGAGTACATATGGCGCCAGCAACAGAATGTTGCTAGAAATGTGGACATTAAATGTGCTTCTGGTGAGGCTTTAAAAGAAAATGAACATGTGATTGAACAGTGGAGGAAGGCGATGATTTTTATGCAGTGGCAAAGTACTTGTCTGGATTATGTTCAGATGTTTGGTGGAGGGTAGAGCTTGTAAGTGATAAACTTGGATATCTGGTTGAGGAGATTTCTAAGCAAGATCTTAAAGGGACTATGTGGTTTCTCCTTGCCCCTTATAGTAAAATGCAAGAGGAAAGAGATGAACTGTGCAAAATGAAAACAGAACTTAAAAGATTTGGAAAATTCTGTTTTACAAACTAAGGACACGTGTCCTAGAATATTCACCAAGGATGTGGCTACACAACCTTTTGTCAAAGAGATTAAGCCTGTAACTGATGGA